TATTAGTCCTCATTTTTGGACCGTTAGGAAGGTAAAATAATATGTTACCTTGTTTCAGCCTAAAATTTAAGACTGTTTTGTTCTAGTTTTCATAATAATATAACTATTATATTCCTTAATCAGTTGAGTTGTACCTTTTGCTACATGACAAATGTGGGACTCGATCGCACTGGGCGATACAAACTGGCTCCTTCTGAAACCTAAACCCATACTTACTATGGAAATAAGACCAAAAAAATAGCTTCTTAATTGTGAAAGCTCCTGAATAAATAACCTACAAAACCTTTGTTACGTTTATTTTACGATCAGAAAGCCGAAGAAATCTGGAGATGTTCACAAAATCTTCATAGGCTTAAATGAAAATCTCCATAGGCTTAAATGAAAATCTCAATGCAATTGCTGGCCTGAAGGAGAATCTTGAGTTCCCAAAGTGTCAAATTCCTGAATCAGGAAACCTAAATCTTAAACAATGGAATTCCTCGTACGATCATTTCCTTGTACTTGAATAATTTGTGTTGTAATTTTGGGAAAAATAAAAAATAAAAATGAGATGATTAATTCTCATTTAGCAATATTTCAAAATGAGATACATTATTGCGGCAAAAAAAATGTCGAAAGTTCAGCTTTGGAAACTCTTGAAAAAACAACAGGATTATTGTAAAAATTTCAAGACCGACCATCTATAGTCTTTAGGATTAAAGAGCATCCATGTTGTTTTACTTGTGTATACGGTGTAAGTCAAAGCTCATCTCATACTTGCATCTACTCCATCACTTGTGCCCAATACCCATGGGTCAATCACTAATAAAGGACTAGCTCCAGACTCAAACCAATTTCTTTCGTATCAAGAGTTTCAAAAATACTGGGACATCCTATATTTGAACCAAATACTTTCTGGTTAAAGAATCTCTTTCTAGTTAATCTGGATCGAGAGGCGATGCTTATGCCCCTGCTTTATATATGGGATATTTGATGAAGCCTGTTGAAAAAGAGAAGTGCCCTCTAATTGAATTATATTTGTTTTTATTTGATTAACCTTTTTTTTCTTACTAGGAGATTCCTTACATCACATACCCACATGATGAGAAAACATTTAATATCCGGCTTTAATTCAGTTGCTAGTTGTTCTTATTCATAATTTTTTTCTTTGCAATGAACGTGAAGTTACGACTTCTTTATTGCAAGTAAAATTAAATAATGGCCTGATTTCAAATTTTACTACGGCTGCTTCCCGTACTGGATCCGCCAAGATTAAATTTTCTTTTGAGCCACTATATATATATATAGGTACTCCAATTGGTTGGGGCACCTATCTAGTAAGTAGATGTCTTGAGTTCAACTCTCCGTTATAAAAAGATTAATTATTAGAAATAGTATAGTAATAGAGATTCGAACCCGTGCTCTCCTTTTATCATTATCGGAAGCTTCACACTGTAACCAAAATATGTGTTTATTTTTGGCAAAGATGTGGTCACTTTGTTTTAATTTTTAATTTTATTTAACTAAAATTCTACCTTTTAATGACTCAGCCATTAAACCAGTGACTCGATGTCCTGATAATTTGTCCAAGGTAGTGATCGGATTGGATATGATAACTATGTTTTGAAGAGTGAAAGAATAACGAAAAAGAAAATTAAATTGACAATTTACATTTATTGAAGCCCAAAATTTTATTTGTTTTAATCTTGTCATTAGAAACTATTTAATCGACAAAAAATGTTAGCAATTCGGATAAGCATTATCACATTATTTCTTCACACGTTCAGTGACAAAATCTGTCATCTTCAAAACTATGAAATGGTCTTTTTTCTAGACTGAGATTATTAACAAATCAAACCAAGAAAGTAAGTAATTTGACCAATTTTTTAAACTTGAAATTCTTACTCGATACATACTAGTAGATCGGTAGATAACGTACATCTACACTTGTATTTCGAATACGATACAAGTAATTTCAATTCAAGGTGTTGGTTTACATTATCACAACTAAAAGTCAATGACCATTCGTGCTCACTCGAAATCCTAGATCCGCCATTGACTGTATTATGGTTAATTTGACAAACGGTAGGATCTAAACTTTAGCCTCGAATATTTTGCCTTGTAAATTTCGTTTCACGTATTTCTCTACTTCAATATTTTTCCCAAGAAAAATTGAAAGTGGTCGTTTCATGTAATGTGGAAGACTGTCCCAAGTAAGCATATCAAAGATGGGATGGTAGTTAATTGAGCTCAAGAGTAGGAGGCTTATGAATAGATTACATAGGCTTTGTAGGTCCTCAAAATGACACTGTCTCCTGTTAGGTGGAAGTGCTTATATATAGTTTGCAAACTTCTCGATCTCTTCTAGGAAAATGAAACTTTTGAAATTTTTTTTATAACTTTTGTAGTTATATAATATTCCCTAAGTTGAAAACATGCTCACGGGATGAGCGAGTAACCCCCATTTTCGAGCCAAGCAATGCGGATTATGAGAAGATTTTTGAAGTTAATTAACTGTGAGGTTTTAGAAGACAAGTCTCCAAATGTTGATCAATAACATTTCAAAATCAAATCCTAGTGGTGTTTCATTGTTTTATTTGAGTTTTTGTGGTTCAATCATAAACACCGGACACTACAAATGGTTAAGAATAATGCAAATTAGAACATCAAGATTTGTTGGGAAAAATTGGTGATTTGTTTATAGATAAATTGTCAATAAACATAATAAATTTATAAAATAAAATAAATATAATTTAATAATAATATAAATATACAAAGATAAGAGTAATTAGAAATGTAAGCATAAGGGAGTAACGTCAAAAACGATGTCTTAAAGTCGTGTTGTCTCTCCTTCACGCGGGTACTTTCTGCTCTACACGACTCTGATAAAATTCATGTTCTTCTATGAGAACGACTATAGGGAGATAAGTGAAGGAACCTTTATCAAGTCGCCAAAACTATATAAAATAATATAAAAGTGTAGAGTGTATTTATCAGGTTATCTTTTCATTTTATGTTTAACCCTATGAAAGGGAGAAATGCACCCCCTCTTCATGAAAATAAATCATATTTAAGTATAAGTTACAATCTAAATTGTGAGATTTGATTTTGTATTAAAAGTTAATATTAAAAATCAAAGCTAAAAATTAATATTTGTTGTGGAATTTTAAAACTTTTTAAAAAATGTTATAACAATCCCTCATAAGTTTTAAATTTTCAAAATATACAACTATATATTGCAACATAATATGGTGTAATAGGTGTAAGTTTCTTTTGGACTTGAATCTCACTTAGTGACAACAATTTGTATTTGATGTGGCCATAATTAAATAAGCTTTGAATTAGATCTCTTTGGCGAAATTTCAAATGTTCCACACATAGTATCAATTTATGCTCAATTCATATCTGGTAGCTTTGTTAATGGCCACAAGCTCTAATCAAGTAAAAGTCTCTAAGGAATAGCCCAATTTCAAAGTCACGACCTCATGACAACTCTTACATAAGTGAGTCTTCCAAGGGTGCTTGTAAACCACGCCTCGAAATTTTTTTTACCTTGGTACTCATTCAGGATTAAACACTTCCTAATATCACATTTATTAGCACTATATTACCATATGGATGAGCACAAATAAAATAGTAGTATTACAAGTCACATAGTACTGGTCGTTGTTATCGCATTGAACATTTTTTATGGGATCTCCAATAACCAAGGTTGGGTTATTATTGGAGGTGACTCCCTTACGGGCTTAATCCTCCTCGATGATTTATGTATGTTCATCTCATATTACAATTTATTTATATCCCTCTTGGACAATAACTTGATACCATCAATTTGCAAAGCTTTTATTCTTCACCTGTACATCTGTATATTTGTTAAATCTTCTGAAATTTCCAAAGTATCAATATCAAGTATCTAAGTTTAATATAGGATAAACACACGTAAGTTTTAATATTGATTTTTGTTAATACGTTTGAGCAAATGCATCCATTTAACTCTTGTATTTCACCTACAGGTCCACAATTTTATTTTCAGCACTTTTTAAAAGTCAATTTTACAACAAAGAATATTAAAATATAAGGTGTATCTATTTAAAATTTTAAAAGTGGTCAAGGGTAACATGTACAATTTATTTTCAATCAATGTTTTTGTTATCATATTAATTTTATACATATTTGCAAAAGCCAATCTGTCCAACAAATATGAATGATTAAAAACTTGACTTTGACGCGGAATTGGTGAATCGTTATAGTATTCAAAATATAAATATAAGTAAATAATATTCTATTCTCATAGTTTATGTTTTTTGTAATTGAATATAGTACATTTAGAGCACCAAGGTGTCTAGACATAGACAACAAGTATCTTGTACTTAAGAATGTCACATGTTTCTAATCGAGTTCATGTTCCTCCTCGTAATTTTAGTCAACTTGTCTCGATAAAAACAACGGCAATCTATTATTTTTTGATTCACTTAATTATTTAAGTTCATGTACAGCTGTCATTTTCGTAAGTAATACGTCTTAGAAGCAAATATGTATACCTAAACATATATGATTAAAATTTAAGTGTGAAATCGAATTTGGTGGATCGACTTATTTTTCAAAATATAAATTAAATAAGCAAGTACATTAATGACAAAAACATGTGCATTCCATGTGTCTTATAAGCCTATCTATATTAATATTATGTTTTATAGTGCTATACAATCTCATTATAAATTGAGAAGCCAAATATAATTAGAGATTATTTTAGTTGTCTGTGAATACCCTCATTACAAACATGAAATTTTGTTGTTAGACTAGTTTTTTATTTTTTTTTATTTTTATTTTTTTATTTATTTATTATTATTATTATTATTATTATTATTATTTTTTTTTTTTTTTTTTTTTTTTTTTTTTTTTTTTTTTTTTTTTTTTTTTTTTTTTGCGTTGATTATAGGTCTGGTTGTATGGCTCTTCAAATACGGAAATAGTAGATTTTATAAATTAAATTAACTCATTTGCAAAACCAACACCACATCCAAGTGAAATCCAGTCAAGTCTCATCTCTCTCTCTTTCTCTCTGTTTTGTCTCAAACCAACAATATTGTGAAAACAAAGATCAGAAACATTCATTTTCCTTCTCTTTCTCTCTTTGGTCTATGCCCAATCCAACAATACTTGATGGATCTTTCGTATGAAAATCTGTCACGTCTAGTCACAACCCAAAATCTCCTTTCCCGTTTGCAAGATTTAAACCTTGATGGAGGAAATAAAATTGTTAGTTTTCAATGGCTTGGGCCACACTTCCTAACTTTTCTCGAATATGCAGAACAAGTGTGCTTTATTCATAAAGTAAGTAGGAAGAAATTCTTCAGCAAGACATTTAATGATCTGTTGAAGCATCTTGATGATTCAGCCTCCGACTGCATCTTATATGGAGAGAGTAAACATTACAAAAACTTTTTAGAGATCATCCTCTCTTTCATGCCGGAGCTTAAAAAGTTCTTCACAATTCAAAAGCAAGTGTATGATCGCGCTAGCAACATCAACAATTGTCCAACAGTGACCAGGTTTATCGACTTTCTTCTTGAAACTATTGGAAAATTGCTTAATTGCCAAATATATTCCAGTGTTCTTGTGAGTAATCAAGTCAATGTTCTTCAGAAGGACCTGAAATTTCTGCTCACTTTTCTTCTTGATACAATGCGATGGATCAAGAAAAAGCAGGATAGTGTTTTGTTTATTGAAATTGGATATGAATCCAAGAGAGAACGGATCAAGAAAATATTTGAAGAAAATATATTCACAGAAATTGAAGATGTATCTGACAACGTAGGACTTTTCTTGCATTCATTCTTTTTCACCACAGACCTTGTCATTGCGACCAAAATGGATCTGGCAATTTCTCTTCTGTTAGAAAGAATTGAGATTGTGAAAGTAAAGATCAAAGATTACTGCATTGCGGTCTCAATGAAGATGAATTGCGGAATTGGAAACCTATAAGTTGCAGAAAGTTCAAGTGAAGTATCATCATCCCTAGATAAAAGCATTCCCATGGTAGAAGAGATGATTGTAGGCTTCGAAGACATGGCAACACAAATTGTGAGCAAGCTTCTTGGAGGACCAAGCTACCGCCAGATTATTGCCATCGTTGGAATGGGTGGACTTGGCAAGACTACTTTAGCAAAGAAAATATACAATGATTTCAATGTTCGTTACTATTTTGATAAGCTCTCTTGGTGTGTTGTTTCTCAAACTTATCAAAAGAGAAAGCTGCTAATTGACATTTTGAGTTCCACAAGTGACCTTAGCAGAGGCAAAATTTTGAAAATGGAAGATGAAGAGTTGGCCGAACATCTTTACAGGACTTTAATCGGTCGAAGATACCTCATTGTTATAGACGATCTATGGGATATACATGCATGGGATGATTTGAAAAGGTACTTTCCAGACAACAATATGAACAGAAGCAGAGTATTGTTTACAAGTCGGCTGAAAAATATGGCATTGGAAATTTCTCATATTATCATTGAACCTCCTCTCCTGTCACCAAGTGAAAGTTGGAATTTATTAGAGCAGAAACTGTTCAAGAAAGAAAGTTGCCCTCAAGAATTGCAAGATATTGGAAAGCAAATTGCAAAAAATTGTCATGGACTCCCACTTTCAGTCGTCACAATAGCAGGAATTCTTTCAAATATGGAGAAGAAAGAAATCTTATGGCAACAAGTCGCAACAAATTTAACTTCTTACATTTCCCAAAAAGCCGACGACTACATTCCCACATTGAAACTTAGTTACATGCATTTACCAAATCACTTGAAGCCATGTTTCCTCTATCTTAGTGCATTCCATGAAGACGAGGACATTCATGTTCGGAAGCTATTATTACTATGGATTGCCGAAGGATTCATAGAGAAAAGGAGCACAAGACCTTAGAAGAAGTAGCAGAGGAGTATCTAATGGAACTCATCAACAGGAGCCTGTTGCAAGTTTCCAGAAGAAGATCTGACAATAAAGTAAGAGCATGGACTATTCACGATCTAGTACTTGATATGTGCTGGAAAATAGCAGAAGAAGAAACTTTTCTGTTTCAACAGTATGTTAACTCACTCTCTCTCTCATTTCTTCTCATTTTACTTCTCTTTTTGTCTACTAATTTGCGGTAATAATGTCAATGATGCTGTTGCTGTTGCTGTTGCTGATGCTGATGCTGATGCTGGTTGATGTGATTAAAATGACAATGATCCTCCATGTTCTTATTATTCTACTTCTTTAGTCAGTTCTTGATATCTAAGCATCATCATCGCCTGTGTATGAATCAGTCTCATCACCTCTCCAAGGCCTTATCCGTTCTTTACAATTCGGAAAAAATTAGGATACTAGTAGCTTGGTATGATGAAAATGTTGATCTGGGAATCAAAATTATGCCTGACTTGAGGTACTTGGCAATTACATATTTTGACTCAGCAATAGGAATGCTCCAGAACCTAGAATTTCTCCGAATAATAAATATATATCATCAAGATATACCAATGTACCTTCTCAATATGCCAAAGTTGAGACATCTATGTGTAGGAGACCGAGTTACAAAGTCAAGATTCAATAAGGATTGTGATAGCTTCCAAATAAACAACCTACAAACGCTTTCCTTTGTTTTTATTTCAGATTCAAAAGACGAAGAAATCTTGAGATGTTCACCAAATCTTCGTATGCTTAAATGCAGATTTTTTGGCAAGCGCCTTCTTGATCTCAACTTTCTTTCTCAGCTTCGATCACTCAAAATGGTTTATGAAAGTAGATTCAGGGGTGATTACAAAGTGTTTAACTTGCCTAGGAATATCAAAAAGCTTACCCTTTCTAATGTTGGATTGCCATGGGAAAAGATGTCATTAATTGGGTTATTACCTATATTGGAGGTTCTAAAGTTAGAAGATGGAGCCTTTGAAGGAAAAATCTGGGACACCAAGGATGACGAGTTCCAAAAACTCAAATTTCTTAAATTAGTTTCCCTAGATATTGAACAGTGGAATTCCTCAAGCAATCACTTCCCCGTACTTAAACGATTAGTGTTGCAATTTGTCCAAAAGTTGGAGATGATTCCTTCAGAATTTAGCAATATTCCAACACTACAAAAGATTGAGGTACGTTATTGTTCTGAAAGTGTTGAAAGTTCAGCTTTGGAAATTCGTGAAGAACAAAAGGATTATGGTAACGAAGAGTTTGAGTTGATCATACAGAGTCTTCGTAGAAAAGAGAGCATCTACTGCATTGGTGTAAACGATGTAAGTCAGACTTCATCTCATAATTTTTTTTATGACGACATAAAAATTATTTTTTACTATCTATTTGATTACTTTTTTTAATTTTGTTGCAGGAGAATCTTTAATGTCTTGCTCCCACATGGAGAGAAAAGATAGATTTTCAGCTCCATTTCAATTGTTATTTCTTTTTCATAGTCTTCTCTTTGTAATGAATGTGAAGTTACAATTTCTTATTCGCAAGCAAAATCAAATAATGGCCCAATTGAAAAATGTATTATAGTATGGTTGATTTGATAATTGGTTAGTTCTAGATCTAGGGCTCGTAAACTTTTGCCATGTAATTTTCTTTTATTTATTTTATTTTTATATATATTTCTAATACTATATTTTTCCGACATCAAACGATTATGAGTATTCTTAAGTGGGAAATGAAATTCATTTACTTTCAACTTCTTCGTGTAATGTTTTTGCATCTTTCCTCATCTGAAATTAGAAAAATATGAAAATCAAGCATTAATGTGATGTGCTAGCTCTAACATTTTTTTCCAAGATATGAAATAATTATTATGTTACCTTGTTTTGGCAATATCTAGGAACTAAGGGCCTTTGTGTTGCGCCTTTACGAGATGCCACATGACAATGTGTAACTTAATCGAACTGGGCAATACAAATTGGCTAGGTAACAGTACTTGGCAAAAACCATCTAAGTAGATAAGATTTATCTCCAAGTAATCTATTTCTGAAACTTAGTCCAATCCATTGCTTTCTGGTTCGAGTAAGTCAGTTAATGATGTTAACTAGAACGGCTGAATCTTCGGTGGGTGTGTGGTGGGCCGCCCGTGGAGGTGGCACACCTTGATAGGGCGGTCGCAAAGCCACATGGTGCAACTGCCCTACTGAAGATTCTCTCTAGTTGGAATATGAATTTGTAGCCATTGTTCAAAATTTATTTACCTCAAATTTTGATTGACTCCATGACTCATAATTTGACCTACACCAAAAAGGATCATCACTATCTAAATTCGATATCATAGCAAAAGAATAAATAAAATTTAGGCTTTTCGTTTCCATGAACTAGTTCGTAATGCGAAAGAGGACTACTTCATGGAGCTCTTTCAAATGAAATGTCTAGTGCGTGTGCGTGTGTGTGTGTGTGTGTTTTTTTTTTTTTAAATTCAGGATGATTATTAGATGAGAAATGAGTATTTATGCCAACAAATGAGAATTCCGTTAATTGAAGCTAGATTATGCAAGTGACTTAAATTGTAGGAACGCATATTGCATAGACTCAAAGAGGCAATGGTCCATGAGAGTAACATGATCTCAACAAAAACAGGTCAAAAGGAGGAGAAGTAGACCAAAATAACAAGATCTAATTGGTGGAAATCTCGTAAATTTTTTGCAACGAAATGCAACAAGTGACATTAAAGAATTCTTGTACCCGGCCAGATATTTACAGTTGCTTCTTGAAAATCCCCAAATATTGGTAGTAACATTTCAAAATCAAATCCTCGCAATGTTTCATTGCTTCATTTGTATTTGAAATATTCAACTGTTTAAACACCGGACAGTATACATGGTATGGGATAATGTCAATAAGCAATTGACTGCCAAGAATAGAAAACTTACTGTTTCGCACGGGTTAGTCGCTAACAATTAAAAAGGATCAGACGATTGTGTAAGGGACAAACCTCTTGAGACAAAGTCCCGAAAATGGGTGTTCTTTTATTGGCGATGACTTTACAATTGGAAATTAAAAACAGAATGCCTCCAAGGGGCGCACGCACACAAGTTACTGAAAGAAGTGTTTAAAGCTAAGCTAAGAAAATTAAAATTACATATTCTCTGTTCGAGAGTTTTTGATTCGGTCCTTTGCTCTATGTTTTTTCTCCCTTTTATACTTCATGGATGATCTCTTTGTGATCAACCGCCTAAAAACTGCTTGATCGTTCTACAACTGCCCACTTTCATCGTAATGGCCAACTTGTCATGAAACTGCCTTTTTTAACTGCTGTCATTACTCTTCGTCGTTCAACCGTTTTCGATTGAATTTCTTGAATCGTGGAACGTGATAGGGATGCTTTAATAACTGCTTTGATAACTGCACTTCTTGATAACCACAACACTTTATGTTTGCTAAGACCTTGGACGACTTGAAGGTTTGGGCGAGAATAGAGTAACAGCTCTGGGTGACTGCATGGCACTCCATTCGCTCAGATTCTGGGCGACTTGCAAACTTGGGCAATGGCGTTACCGCGTTCTTGGGCCTCTCTATTTGGGCCTTCATCTTGAATTGTTTGATTGGGCTTCGTTCTTTGGGCTATCCGATTTGGGGACCCTCCAATTGGGCTTTATTCCTTGGGCCGTTCGATTTGGGCTGAATTTTTATGTATCAACAATTACCCCCAATATGGCAAAATTAATACCAATTATTAAATTTTGTCATATTCACTTTGTGTTTTCAGCAACATTCGAAATTTCCAAGAATTTTAATCATTGTTTTCTTCCATAACTTGAAAAGGTGCGACGTTTTGCAAACCATTATAACCCTCAAACACGCCATTTCACTGCACCATTAAATCACGCCTAACTTTTTTGCGACTCTCCCACGATTTACTGTTCATCTTTTGCTTCCCTGCTACGTAACTCTGAAAAACTCCGTTTCATCCCTAATGGCTACTTCACAATCTCAAACTGGCGACTCCTTTAGTTTTGATGACTTTCAGAAACTTCTGAGTCGTCCATACATAACTTCGAGTTTTCTCGCGCTCGCCGATGTCGAACTCAATGAGTTCTACCTAGGTCCTTTCTTCAACAATGCAGAGGCAGTCGAACAGGCGGCGGTAGGTCAGCGGTTTCCTTGTACTCAAGGCCCTCCATTTCTAAACTCTCTGCCGTTGGGGCCACTTTGAGAAAGAGGTATTTGCACTTGGCCTAAATCTGATGTAGCTTTCCGTAGGTGGCATGCTTGTCTTGTGGGCCATGGTCCTACTAAGGCACTTTTTTATAATGCTAGGATTTCTGATTTGTTAGAAATCTCTATTCGCCCCCCTACTTTTGATTCAGCACTTTTTTCGATTGCTTTGAGTTTTTGATATTCCAAGTATAATACCTTTATTTTCCCTCTTGGCCCCATGTCTATTACTTTAAGGGATGTTGGGGCCCTAGTAAATCTACCACCTTTGGGCGATACCATTTTTCCTGGTATCTTGGTTTCTGGTGGCGCCCCAAAGTTTGGTAAAAACTACACCGAGTCTTATTCAAGCCTGCAAACCCTTCACAATCATTCGAGCGCTGAGCCTTCCCATACTGAGCGAGTGACTTTTCTTCTAGTTTGGCTTTGTAAATATGTTTTGTGTGTGCCAAGCATAAAGCCCTCCCTGAGTTATTTACTCATAGCGCACGAATTAGCGCGTGGCAGGCCTTTGAATTTATGTTCTTTCTTTTTGGCTGCCCTTTATAGAGGCATGGCTTCTCTTCAAACCCAATTGAAGAATGGTGCATCTCCTGCTGGTAGTGGACCTCTTTGGTTCACTCAACTGTGGTTGAGATCCTATTTTCCATCGCTTGGTGCTCCATCAATTTCTCGCTCCTCTGCTAGCTGCTATGGGCTAGCCATTGAGCCCTTGGCTCCTGTAAATATGTCTAGAAGGGACATTTTTTCATTCTTTTATTCTTTGGATTCAATCCCTTCCTTTTTTCCTTTTCCTCCTTTTTTGACTCCAAACTATGTGCATCCCCTCTCCACTATAGACATTGCGAGCACCTCCCTGCTCATTTGGATCCAGTTTTTAACCGGGAGGGAGCTATTTCATGATATTTTAACCGGGACCAATGCCAAGGCGGGGGTAGAAATTTATGCTCCCCAATTTTTTGCTCGCCAACTTGGTTTTGGCTAAACTTGGCATGTTCCTCCTTGCTATTCAAGGAACTTGATTGACCGCTTTCATACTATTAATAAGGTTGAGGCAGAGGCTATAAATGCTCGCAATCTTCTTTTAAAAAGCTATTTTTCATTAGCCCCCTTCAATTCTAGCCACGCCATCCATCCTCTTTCTAAACAGCTCTGACCGTCAGTGAAGAGCATATTGTTTGCAACTGATGCCAATCGTGCCTTTCATTCACTAGACCAGCCGAGCATATCTTCCCCTCCTTCTGTTTTAGTCACTCCTTTGTCCATCCGGAGTCCTTCTCCTCCTCGTCGCGCTAAACAGACTGCTCATCCATCTTCTTCTCTCCCTGCCAAGCCTACTATAGCCAAGAGTGCCCTAAGCCGCAAACGGCTAGCCTCAGCATCGCCCATTCTGGAGGATGATGTTGATGATGATGATAATACCCCTCTTATCATCAAGAGGAAGGTAATTAAATTGGTTTACTCACAAGCATGCTTTTCCATACTTGAAACTTTTCTGTGTGCTGATGATTTATTTGGACTTCTCAGAAAAGTTCAGCCTCTCCTTTAAAGGCTTTGGCATCGGCAGCTCCTGCTCCATTATTCTCCGCTGAGGCTGCTTCATCCAAACCGGTTGATGAGGGGACTACGCTTAGAGAGACATCTTCAGTCCCAGAATCCTCACCACAACCCATGGATGAGTCACCTTCTTCCCAGGGCGTCAACCCCCCAAACATCGAAGTAGAAGGTAATTCAGTTTTTTGATGCCTTACCTTTGCTTGTGCTATTGGTTTCTGATTTGTTGCTCTTGAGTTCTGCAGATACTCCTATGACTCTACCCGTTGTGGCAACATCTTCTCGCTCAGACAAGGGGAAGTCCTCACGAATGGAGGAGTCACAGGTGGCAGACTTGGCTGAAGGTGTGCCATCTTCCACGATTGTTGATGAGGTAGTCTTTACTTTACTTTTATTTCCATCTTGTTCGTTGTAGTGAGAATCTTCAATATTGACAATTTTCTTTGCAGGATGCTGACAAGATTGTGCGTTCTATCCAAGACTTGTTCGCTTCTTGGGGGCAAGTCAAGACATCTCGCCCTGCACCATCTGATCATCCTGCTGCTTCTTCAGAGGAAGATTTGAAGTTCCTCAAGCAGTCGATATTTGAGTACGTGTCCTTCATGGATATGGACATTGGTAGGGCTAGTGCTGC